GAACGGAAAAGGCCATGCGCTCCATCGCTACTTCCTTATTCAGTTTGTCCCACACAACATCCAGATGCTCCCCTACTGAGCGCAGATTGCGACAGGATCCCTGGTGAGGGATTCAAAACAAATCCCGTATAGCTTCCTATACTGGCTTAGCCATGGGCGCATCACACTGGCGTCCTCGCCCTTCGTGCCCATGGCGTCCTTTTTGTCACTTGACCTGCTCCGCTTAAAACATTGTGCTGCTGTGTGACTGCCCCCAAACACGGAGTATTAATGTTTAAATTTACAGTCGACAGGTGCTCACCAGGCGGCACATGCATCGACTGGAGCAGCGTGACTGAGCCAGGAGGAATCCGCTGGGCCGAGACTGCAGCATCCAGTGGGACTGTAACAGGAGCAGGAGTTGTGGAGGCCTGGAACAAGGCCTGGTCTGGAGCAGCCTGTAATAATAAGATAGTCGAGAAACCAACCCCCCCCAGTAGCATCAGGCCCACTCCAGGGGGTTACCGGAGGGATTGCCCAGCAGGCCAAGGGGAGACTGGGCGAGAAGAATGGAGGCTAGCGGAACCCCTAGAAGCTGGTAGGGGGGAACCCCCCTGCGTGCCCGGCAAACCCTGCCCCCCACATGAATGGAAGAGCCCATCTCCCCGTGGCTGCCCCTGCGCCCTACTTACCCACCCGGAGGCCTGACCAGCACTCTGCCTGACAGACAAGCGGGAACCACACTGGGTATCCAGGCACGGTGCAAGTGGAGTGGCAGGAACCATAGAAGCTGTCAATATCCATGTAGGCCCTGGCCGATATAAGCTCTGGCAACAACAAACAGCAAGTTGTTCCAAGTTGAGAATTATTAAGATGGCTGGGCCACTACCTAAAATGGACCCCTATATATATGCACCACCCCAAACCCAGAGCCATCCCCTTTTTCCTAAAACCTCCCCTGCCCTTGCATCTACACTCCCCCCCCACAATATCACACATTCCCCATTTCCTGGCTAGCCTTTGGCCTGCCTCCTCATGATTTAAATTTAACTGATTGTAACTACATGCAATATAATAGTTTGATCCCTGTGTAGAATATATTTAATTCTTGTTGGTACAAATCAGGAAATATTATTTCAGAAATGTTGAAAATGATCAAAATCTCATATTGGAATTTCACAGTCTGTAAAAAAATTCAAAATTACATTTTGATATAGCCTCAAAAATTAACTGCAGTTTTTAGTTTTGATTTACTTTATGGTCCCTTTAAAAAAAGTAGAATGTAAAAGAATAGCAATATGTACAATCTATTAAAAATATCTGCAGAAATTTTGGGGCCCCTTAGAGGTGTGTGTGTATAATGTGGATGTCGTGTGTGTAATGGATGCAGTGTAAGTAGTGGATCCAGATTGTGTGTTTGTATAGTTCATGGATGCAGTGTAGTGAATACAGGGTTTGTATTGTGTGTATATATGTGAAGTAAGATAGGAGCTGCATTCTGTGAGAAAAAAAGCTTTTTTTTTTTTTTTTTCTTAATAAAAAAATTTGTCCGGTGGCATTTTAAAGCCTGCCATGCACTTTATAGTGACCCAGCCAATACCATTTTCAGCTTCTGCAAGATCCTCTCTCAAACTCTCCAGCTGCTGGAAACTGAAGATACCAGTGGCTGGCCCCTCTATTCACTATACAGGAAGCCAGGGGTCTACAGGTGCATATATACATGGCTATACGTTCATTTATGTTTTCATATTTACAGAGGATGATAACATTTAAAAAAATATATGGTATGACTTTTCTTGCAATATTTCAGACAGGGTGCCTCTAGATGCTAGGATAAGTTCGTCTGGTCAGTACATAGGATTCCAAATGTAAGAATTAAGAATATTTTATTAAAACTTCCAAGATATCACATATAAAATTAGGGTTGCCCTAGGCAGAAGGGGCTGGGAGAGAAGGAGACACACAAAGGGGCTGGGGGAGTAAGAAACACAAAGTGGGGTTGTAAGAGACACACAAGGGAGGTGTAAGACACACAATAGGGAGAAATAGGGAATAAGATACACTAAAGGGGGTTAGACATTTCAAAAAGGGTTAAGAGGCACACAGGTGAAGATGCTTTTTTTTGGGTGTGGGGGCAAATCATTTTCGCGTGTGTACCCAAAAATCCTTACACCGGCATGGTCCAGACCACAATGGTCCGGGTGGTCCAGTGGGGGACCATTGTGGTCTGCACCATTGAGAATTACTTGGGAACCATGAGAGAGCTCTTAAATAGGTCTGCACCTGATATTGGCAGGTGAGTAGGGGACAGGGCCAAACAGGGAGATCTATTTAATCTCCTGGCTGGTTCAAGGAGGGCCCAATCACAGCCAGAGCTAGAGCTCCAGGTCCAGACAGGGTCTTATAGGTAATCCAGCTCTGGTTACAGTACAACTAATTTATCATATATAACGCAGCAATTCCAAAGATATAAAACTCCTTCCCTACCTTCTGCAAGTTGTTGTTAGTAACCGCTACAAATTACCAATACATTTTCAACCTTAAACCCTGTGTTAGAGAGAGAGAGAGAGAGAGAGAGAGAATTTTGCAATTCTTATTACCCCTGTGTCTCTAATGGGGTTTATGTTGTAGTTTGGAAAGAGCAGTTACTCTATAACAATAGTGACATCAATTTAAACAAGTAACGACTGGTCAGTAAAACTTTCTGACAACAAGCCCTAAATGATTACCTTGCAATAAGTAAATCAGTAATAGAATATTAGGAATTTATGGATGCAGATTAACCTATGAAATATCCCAGTTTTTTCCAGCCTAGAAAGCATGCACAGTTGCATTGCTAATGAATTCCAGACTGAAAGGCAGATTAGGAAATTGCTGGGGAAATTGAATGGAAAGAAGGCTGGTGGGAAGGAGGGCTTCAGTATTAAGCATTTGCGTCTTTTTCATAGTAACCATTTAACTTAAGACGTCACCAGCCATCACTGGTGTGAACTATACATTAAAACAATTGAGAAATGAAGTAGAAGGAGCACTTTTTAGGTATATCTGTGACCCTTCTAATATAGTGTATTGTAGGTGTTTTACTGAGCTAGAATCATCTCATTTTCAGAGACACCTTTATGTTCATTAGATGAATGTCAACATTCTATTGGAAACAAATTTAAATACAGAAAATATTGCATAACAAGTAGAGAACTTTATTGGTTTAAAAATATTATTTTTCAGCATACAGCATAACAGCTCTTGTCAAGAGCAGTGGTGGTAAAAATGCTAGACAATTATAATGCAAAACATCAACAATCTACAGTAGGCATTCCATTAGGTTCCATATGCCCATAGCCACATTTACTTAACCCCTTAAGGACACAACTTCTGGAATAAAAGGGAGTCATGACGGAATATTTCTGTCATGTGTCCTTAAAGGGCCACTATAGTGCCCTCCCTCCCGCCCGGCTCTGGAAGGGGGAAAGGGGTAAAAACTTACCTTTTTCCCACTCTGGGCAGAGAGCTCTCTGCCTCCTCTCCTCCTCCGATCCGCCCCGTCGGCTGAATGCGCACGCGCGGCAAGAGCTGAAAATCACAGTGAGAAGCACGCAAGCGCCTCTAGTGGCTGTCAATGAGACAGCCACTAGAGGGAATGGGGGAAGGCTTAACCCATTCATAAACATAGCAGTTTCTCTGAAACTGCTATGTTTATGAAAAAATGGGTTAACCCTAGCTGGACCTGGCACCCAGACCACTTCATTAAGCTGAAGTGGTCTGGGTGCCTAGAGTGGTCCTTTAAGGGGTTAAGGACTATGTTGACGAACTTCATCAGCTTTGTTATATATTATACTCCGTATGAAATATTTCTGTTTATTTGCTTTCACTATGCAAAGGTATCGAGGGATATAAAAATGAAGACTGTGAGAAATTTCATTGTGGTGTTTTAAGATTGTCATTATTCATTCTTGCAATTCAAGTGTTGTTTTAATATGCTCTATTATTTTTTTGTCTCTTTTATTTCTTTATGGCTTCTTTGCACTCTAAGTTTTGAAAATCTACATGCCAAGGATTAGTGCCCTTTAGCAGAGTATGTTAGGTGTTAGAATTATACTCATTTTAGGTATTTCCAAGTCTTTAAAATACATCTGGATCAATGCCTTATATCATGCACTCTTCTCTTTATTGCCAATGCAATATCTATTCTTCAGATTGTGGCATGCTTATGTTCTTAATAAATGAAGTTGAAAAAACACATCTTGTTATTAAGTATCAGATTTCCACTGATTCCACTTGAGACCACATCTCCACTGTACTTTAGAATTCTCTCTGTCTCCAAAAGTGTTAAATTCTTTATTTGTATCAGTTTTTCAGATTTTGATAAACAAGGAAGGGATTACAGAATAAAGAAGAAACGTTTGGGGTTACATTCACATTTTTACAAATGGGATATCATTGTCAGTATTACTAATTGATCCAGCTCGTAGAATTGTGTCACACCTAGGACTAAAAGGGAACGTATTACCAGGCCTTAAAATGGTCAGACTTAACGCACCAAAGAATAGTCAGGATACTTGCCGAGGTCGGGGGGTACAGAATGGGACTCCAACGATAAGGGAAAAGGGAAAGCAATGTGTATCTAAGGAATGTAAACTTCTACAGGCCTTTAAAGACTTTGGATTACAAATACAATTACTACTTTGAACTTTGGGTTACAATTCCTATCAGGATCCATCCAAGAATATCTTACTCTAGAACCTTATGTTCTTTTTAAATTCTTTCCCTGACAAAAGCTTTGCTCATTTTTAACCAACCATCTTTTACATACAAAGATCACGCTAATGACGTTTTACCATTACAACAATGATCAAAGACATTGGGAACAGAAAAACTTAAAGACTGTTGGAGAACTTTGGTTTACTAATTTAAAGACGAAATGTGCTACAATGCCCACAGTTTAATGGAGAGTAGAGATGTCGCGAACCGTCCGCGAACTTCTCGCGAACGGTTCGCCACGGTTCGTGGCGAACTCCGGCCAGCTGACACATCCCGGCCAATCTCCAGCAGACCCTCCCTCCCAGACCCTCCTACTTCCTGGACAGCATCCATGTTGAAGGCAGCTTCAACATGGATGCTGTCCAGGAAGTAGGAGGGTCTGGGAGGGAGGGTCTGCTGGAGATTGGCAGGGATGTGTCAGCTGGCCGGAGTGCGCCACGAACCGTGGCGAACCGTTCGCGAGAGGTTCGCGGACAGTTCGTGACATCTCTAATGGAGAGGGTGTTATGGGCAAATGCAAATATTACAGGTTTTAAAATGAAATGTTGTATTTCTTAAACTGTGTACTTTGTCTATACTGGCAAACTGACAAGGTGTTAGAATAGAACATATTGTTTTTCATACAATGTGTCTTTAATAAAAATAAGTGAAGATGTTCAGACTTTAGGAAGCCATCTTGTCCCATGTTAGTGGAAATTCCCCAAATCCGTGAATTTCCCATGATGTGTGCACTTACGTTTTAGTATAAACAATAGATATAATGTTCAGACTTTAAGACGCCATCTTGTCTTAAGTTGGGGAATTTCCGATGACGTGTGCACTTACGTTTTAGTTATGGCTTTGTATCTTTGCCAAGTTACGGGAGGTCCTAAAATGAACATCTAAGATATAAATATGTGTAACTTTTAAATGTTAAGACACAGAGCGGAGAGATTTGGAGACAGACACTCCACCATATAATGACAGAGAGGCTGACATGATGACATGTTCAGGAGGGTATGTTTATCTATTAAGATATTGCAAGCATCTAGTTTAATTTTATAAACGCTGCTATAAATTATTATAATGGATTTTATATGTCTATATTTATATTTTTTATATAATAAATATCTCAAAAGACAAAACTTTATTGCTTCCAAGACAATACTTATTTTATATTGTATTAACCAGCTGCAGTTACAGTCTGATGGCAATGTAGAGGAAGAGCCCTCTAGAGTGTTCCAGGTGGTGCCAACGTGGGTGTCCGTTGCAACTTACTATATGAAACTTTGGTGCAGCATATGCATGGTGTAAATTCCACGACGTGAGTGGTGGCCGTGGGTTGCATAGGCGTGGAGGCCCTTTGGCCATAGACAGATGTACAAACCAGTAAACTATTTACAACAATATAATGTCCCCTAGAGATAACTATGGGGCATCTTATTGGTAAAATTGCGTGCCTAGATTCTGACAAGTTAAAGGACCACTCTAGGCACCCAGACCACTTCAGCTTAATGAAGTGGTCTGGGTGCCAGGTCTAGCTAGGCTTAACTCATTCTTTTATAAACATAGCAGTTTCAGAGAAACTGCTATGTTTATGAATGGGTTAAGCCTTCCCCCAATTCCTCTAGCGGCTGTCTCATTGAAAATCACAGTGAGAGCACGCAAGCGTCCATAGGAAAGCATTGATAATGCTTTCCTATGTGACCGGCTGAATGCGCGCGCAGCTCTTGCCGCGCGTGCGCATTCAGCCGCATGGGAGGAGAAGAGGAGGATCGGAGGAGGAGAGCTCCCCGCCCAGCTCTGGAAAAAGGTAAGTTTTTACCCCTTTCCCCCTTCCAGAGCTGGGCGGGAGGGGGACCCTGAGGGTGGGGGCACCCTCAGGGCACTATAGTGCCAGGAAAACGAGTATGTTTTCCTGGCACTATAGTGGTCCTTTAAGCCGGGGTTAAAGGTCCCGTCTTGCCGTACCTTTGAGGCTGCCTGGAGCGTTAAAGATGAGGTAAAGGCGAATATTGTCCCCATGATAGTTATTAGCAGTGTACCTTAGGGTGGGATGTGAGTGCCTAAAATCCCATGACCGGAGCGATGGTTTTTGGTTGTGGCAGTTGTTATGGTATGCATGCATTTGTCACAGTGTACACAATTAGCATAATTATTAAACAATGGTGGTGACCATGGGTTACGTATGTGTGGAGGCCCTTCGGCCATAAATAAATAGACCAGTAAGCAAATTACAGCAATATGATGTCCCCAAAAGAGAATTGCGGGGCATCCCATTGGTAAAGTTGGGTGCCTAGATTCTGAAAGGTTGAGCCGGGAATAAGGTTCCTGTCTTGCCGTATCATCGAGGCTACCTTTAGTGTTAGGGTTGGGGTTAAGGCATGTATTTTCCCTATGAGAGTTATTCGCAATGTACCTTAGGGTGGGATGTGAGTGCCTATGACCGGAGTGATGGTTTATGGTTGTGGCAGCCGTTATGGTATGCATTGGTCACAGTGTACACAGTTAGCATAAACATTTAAACATTAACTTTATCATTCAGAGTGTCTTTATTGGGGAGCGGCATGAGGGGTCTGTAATCAGGGCTAAAGATGTTGCGTATTGAGTCAAGACTGTTAGCTTTAGGAGAGCGAGTGTATCATAGAGGACTTTTACTGGTTTACACAAAGGTGTCTCTGGGTGTAGTGGGGATGCTTGGAGAGTATGGTATTGCTTCAGGGTTGATAAGTGAATGATTTCGGTATGGGAGTGTGGGTCACCGGGCAGTGGGTGTAGGACTCATGCCCAGCTCCGGGCGTCAGAGGTGGTCCCTGTGTTGTTTACATTGTGGTGCCTACGTGTGCATGGGGTCCTATGGGGGGGGTTAACAATGTGGGGGATCAGGATGGTTAGCAATATCAACAAATGATTAACCAGGGTAATTCAAAGTTACACACATACTATAACCTGATCTAGGGTCAGGATGAGTACAGCTGATCATTTGGACTGTGTCCTCAATCAGAGGAGGTGAGTTCAGGTCATCCCCTGGGTAAGTCCTTTCGCATTCAAGGTCGGGCGTCTCTTTTGAGGCTGGCGAGGTGGCAGAGGTTCTTCTCCAGATTTAGTGTTTGGTGGAGTCTGGGGTCCAGCTGGGTCAAGCAAAGGTACTTGGGGAAGGGAGATCCCAATGTGCGTTGCAAAGTCAGCCATGTGGGGTGTGGAAGTTTGAAGGGATGGCCCCACATGTATTTTCAGCCTTGTTGGGCCAACGCCATTGTGAGGGGTTTGAGTTCCCTGCGTTTTCTCAGGGTGGATGGTGCCAAGTCCTGAAAAAAATGAAGTGGGTGGACTTAAAAGGTAGGTTGCCGGTCCTGTGTGGCCATCATGATTTTTTCTTTGATAGGAAAAAGACAATTACGGTCATGCTGGTACGGGAGGTGATTTCTTCTCTCAGCCTGGGTGCTGTGTGAGCCTTGATGTCAGCGGAGGTTTCTCGGAGTAGTTTCCGGAGGTTGTGCATGGTGAGGGGGGCCTTGGGGTCTGTGGGGCCCTCGCTGTCCTCACTGTCGGTCTCGGCTTCAGGTAGGCCTTGGGACAAAGATGGCCGCCCCTGGTCTTTGGCGCAGAATAGTGTAGCCACTGATGGCAGCTCGTCTCTCCGTTTCTTATTGCCTCCCATGAGGCTGTTTGGTGTGGTAAGTCATCTCTGCCGAGATTCTGTAAGTTTTAAGCTCAGATCTGTGCACGTTTGAGCTGACGGAGGCTGATGGTAAGCTCAAGGGAGAGGGATCTCAGGATTTACATGTCTGCTTCCATGGGTGGTCAGGCTCTGCCCCTCCTGCAATACAAATGTATGTTGCATTCCTACAGCTTTGCCCTCTCTCTCACCAAACATACTTCATTTCCCACATCTCATCCTTCTCTTTTGACCGCAAACTCCTCTTTCAATCTTTTAATTTACTAATGTGTCCCACATCTCCTAAATACTAATCTCACTGCTGTAAGTTTTGGTTCCTATTTTACTAAAAAAGGCTGACAACATCCAGAAAGAAATCCCTGCACCTGCTCGCTTCTCCCCACGACTGTCCAACTCTTTACCCAGCCTCCTCCTCTACACTTAGTATTTTCTTTTCAGTTTCTGAAGAGGTTTCTGAGCTTCTCTTTTTTTCTTGCCGTACTATGTACTCCCTTAACACCTTTCTCACTATTCACTGTTCCCTCATCTGCAATTATGCCATTCGTGACTAAAATCTTACATATCTCAATTTCCACTGGCATTTCCTCAGCACCCTTCACTCACTTCTCTTTGAGTATTTGTCCTTCATCCTTTTAGACTGTTGGCAGCACACAAAACAGGGCAGATTGTGCCACTATTAATATTATCCTAAAACAAAGACGACAAAAGAGCTGACAAAAGTGACTCACTTGATTCTCAAAGGGTCGGATACATCCTTATGGTAAAACAACATATTGAGAATATACAAAGTGTACACCAATGCTTTCTGTTTTAAGTATGTAAAGATCATTTTACCAGTTAGCTGCCTCCATGTATAGATACCCGTTAGTTACCTGTTATACGTACAGATCAAAATACCTCTTAATTACATGTTCAGCAGTATTGTCACCAATCTCCTGGATTCAAACATGTCCACCCTCATGAGAAATAGTTTTAAACAGTTCATATCAATGCGACAACTTAAATGTTACAAAAAAGGGTAAATCCATACCACACCAAGAAGTGATAGTATAGATTAAAGGGGTAGCAAATAACTTAAATGTTACTACTAAACTATACATATTTTATATAATATAGATTATTCCCTAATTTGTATTTTGTATATATATTGGTCTTTACTGCTTCTGAGAAATCCATTTTCCAGGTGTGCCTCCAATCCCACGTTTTTCTATGTACGCCCTGTTCCAAATTATTATGCAAATTCTATTTAAGTGTCACAAAGATTAAATATTTTGTTTTTCAATTTAACTCATGGATGGCATTGTGTCTCAGGGCTCTTTTGATCACTGAAAACAATCTTGGACACCTGTGATAATTAGATTGCCAGGTGAGCCCAATTTAAGGAAAAACTACTAAAGGAGGGTGTTCCACATTATTAAGAAGAGCACCATTTTCATGCAATATGGGGAAGAAAAGGGATCTCACTGCTGCCGAAAAGAGTGAAATAGTTCAATGCCTTGGACTTAAGAGTGATCATCGCACTATTAAGAGATTTGTGACTGATTCAGAGCACAGACGGGTTCGTGCAGATAAAGGCACATTGAGGAAGATTTCTGCCAGATCCATGCATCGGATCAAGAGAGCAGCTGCTAAAATACCATTACATAGCAGCAAACAGATATTTGCTGCTGGTGCCTCTGGAGTCCCACTGATATCAAGGTGTAGAGTCCTCCAGAGTCTGCAACTGTGCATAAACCTTCTATTCGGCCACCACTAACCAATGCT